CCGGAAACCGCTTGGCGGTAGAAATTGATAAGGTTGCATTACTTCCCTAGATGAACCTGGACTCATTGACAACGAGTTCTACGGCTAATAAAAATATTCGTTATTTTGATAGGAACTGAACATGAAGTAAATGAACTGGTAGTTTTCCAAAATGCAAAGCATAATTCACTGTCCGAATAAACATCGCTCAGAGCACCGTTTACATTACAAAAGCAATTTTTGAAAATAAATCTTTTGTCGGCGTTACTACCCCTTTATTATTATACCTTGTTTCATCTATATAGTGTTGAGTTAAGGTTCCTTATTGCATGTTATGAATTGTTATTACGAGGTGTCTGTACGCCGCCTGCGGGTGACTTTTGACTTCTTTTGTCTTGTGTTTACTTGCCACTTACAAGCTTCGTTTTAATTTATTTAAACTTTTGGCTTGAATAATTTTAGTACAGAGTACTAAAAAAACTGACCTCAAAAGTTCATGGAATTACATCTATTTGCCAAGTGTTATTGAAATCGGTTACCGGAAAGTTCACGAAACCGGATTCTACACCTTGTTTGCCACTTGTTCAAATATAAATAGGATCACTACTGAGATATCCTCTTCCCAACAAAAAAAGAATCATCAAAATCGGTTCACAAATGTCGACTGTCGAATAACATACATAAAAAAACATACAATCGAATTGAGAACCTCCTTTTTGTGAATTCGTTTAAAAAACAATATGCAATATATTTCGATTTCTAATTTTTACCGTTATTTTGGACAAGTAAATTTGTGAAGTTATTTGACAATTCTGTCATTTTTGTCAATTATCTTATTTTTTTATGGTGTCAAGTAAAGGTGTGAACAAATAGTACCCCGGGCGTTATGCGACACGCTGCATCCCTGGACGAAATCTTTCACAAGGAGTTCTACTTCTATTAAAATTCTAGCTTAGCCTTCTTTTATTTCGAAGGAGGTATTTTTCTAGAAGTGAACAATAATTACACTATTGATTGATATATTCGTACATACCTTCATATCCGTCCCTTAATGGGGTAGGCAAACTCGAAACGTGCATCTCCTACATGACTACAACAACATCTTATTAATTGATGTTATTACATTGACTTACAAATAAATGGACGACGGGTGTAATACAAAAACCACGAAAAAAATGTCCCAAGTCAAACTATTCGAAATTTAAATTGTAATGTCATCGCAGTATCGCGCTGTCAGTAGAACAAATGAAGACTAAAGCGGAGTGTCGCGCTCTGTATACGATTTTAGCGCCTAACAAGTTCGGACACTTTTTAGCGCGGACCCGACGTCCATATAATTGTAAGTCAATGTGTTATTATAAACAATTTTGATCGTTTCAAGTACCAGCATAAAAAATCTGTCCTCGAACAACATTTAGTTAAAAAAAAAGGTACAGTCTAAGACTGAGATGTAACTTTTTGACATAGCTCCTATATAGCTCCAACTTTCCCTCCGAAATGATATTCCTATGAGCTGATTTCGTTTTTCTAATTGGATATGAATTCTGTAAGCAAAATCTTTATGATATATTAAATTTACCATTAAATAATACATTTACCTTACTTTAAATAATGAAAATAGTATATAAAATATGCTTAATATAAAGGTCACACTCTGAACCATCTTGCTCATGCGACAAGCAACGTTTCTCCATAGGAGAGTTAAGCTTGTTATTTAGCGGAAATAGCTGCCAATCTGATTACTGAAGGTTTCAACTACAACTTTCAAACTATTTTTCCGGATTTATATCGCGTATATTTGTTTTTTCAAACAAACCGACGTTTCGGGCCCTTTACAGGTTCCATGGTCACGGTTGACTGAAGTGGTACAGTCTTCAGCCAGTTATGTTTAATATTGATGCAAACCACCATATTTATACACTATAGTTACAATAGTTATTAATTAAATACCTTATTTTTAATTTTACAAAGAAACATTCCAATTTACGTTACATTAAGTTTTACAAATTATTTTATTGAATGATTTTTTATTAAGTTCAATTTATTAATAATAATAATAGAAATTAGAATAAACTAAAACATATTAATTAGTACTACAGTTTTATGTCTGTTTGGGATTTTTCATTAGAGGAAATACTGGATCCCAAACTAGTGGTACAGAGAAACCATCTTCCCTGTTGAAATTAGGATGTTTTTTTTAATTTCAATGGCCTCTCGCAGCATCCTGGGTAGATAACGGACTTCTTTTGCAAGGACCTGGGGTTTGTCAAACTTCATTGAATGTGTAGGTTTATTCATGACATGCTTGCAGACTGCAGACTTGTAGCTGATGTCAAACACCGTCGCGTAAACATTTCCTATGTGTAACAATCGCGAAAACCTAAGAACTCCATACACAACTTTCAACTTCAACAACAGGGCGACCTGAACACTTTCAGTCTTAACCGAACCTTAGCGAGAATTTTCGCTTGTGGCCCCCAGGGACCCAGAGTTTCTATCAAAAGGCACTAAGCTCTAGCTAGGCATTAAGCTATAAGTTATAGCATAATAATAATAAAACTGAAGGCTGTGTACAAAACGAGAGTCGCTCAAATAGCTACGGAAGACAAGCATGCTCGGTAGGTAGATCGAGTTTCGAATTCTGAAATCCGTAGATGTAACCAAGGTTCAGGACATAGGAGATCGGATAACGAGTTTAAAATGGAGTTGGACAAGACTGTTGCGAGACGTGGTGAACACTGGTGGAGTAAGGCGGTAACCGAATGGAGGCCAATAAATGGATGTAGAAATGTGAGACGTCCTGTAGCGAGATGGGTGGACGACATTGTCCACGATGCGGTCACTGGTTGGGCGAGACTAGCACGGGATCGTGGTGGATGGCACAAACTACGAGAGGCCTATACCCAGCAGTGGGTGAAGTCGGGCTGTGGATGATGATGACGATAGCATAATAGCAGTGCCGGCTTTATCTGTGGTGCAGGGTGTGCCGTTCACACGAGCGCAGCTTGCGTCGCCTCCAAAGATCCTGCAATGCTTCGCTCGTGTAAACGGTAAACGGGCTATTGCTTCCTAACATCATTTATAATAGCACTATTTGCACCCGAATTTCCGATCACTGGGGAAAATATAACTGTAAGTATATATCCATTTTGATCGCGCGCCTATTACAGGGCGCCAGGGTATTTATTACATCCGGGCGCTACATGGGTTAACGCCGCCGGTACTTTTAATAGGATAGGGTTAGAGTACTTATATCTTAATCTCTAATTACGATATCCACACCGAGCGAAAGTTGTATACATTATCATGTATAAGTGTTAACACATTGAATTTAATTTACGCTTTTTTACAACCTGTATAAAAAGTAAATACGACTTACGACGACGTACACATAGCTTGTTTACTTTTTGCTGTGGATGTAATTTTTTTCACGAAAGTCTCTAAGCAGCAGCAAATTTTTATTTGGATGTGAATGTTGGAAGAGAATTCACAGGTTAAAGTGTCATCATCATTATATACAGCCTGACTTCACCCACTGCTGGGTATAGACCTTCAAGTTTTTGTGCCACTCCCCACGGTTCCACACCAATCTCATCCAAGTTCACCCCACAACTCTTAGAAAAAAAATCTTGTCTTCGTGTCAGGTGCCCTGCCCAGCTCGACTTTAGTTTCGTGATGCGATTATACAACTTGTATTTCTTTAATGTCAAAATCCATAAGTTATGTATAGGAAGTAAGGTATGTTTCTGACAAAGTAGTTTTCACCTTATAATAACTGGAGTCGTGACCTACTGTACATAATAGTTAATCGACTGTAACGTTTCCCTCAATGCAATTAAGCAACTTCATAAAGTACATTGGTGTCGAAGATTTTAGTGTTTTACTTCATCTCCACGCACCTTGTGCATGCGTCTGTCTCTTGATAGTAAGTAACTGTTTCCAAGTTTAGAAAATGTGTTATCTACCAAAGCAGAGCGAACAAGAAATGTGCTTCAGCATCCAATAGCGTTTCTTTGTTTCGGTATCTCTCCAAGCCGCTGCTCCATTTTGATAAATTATTGATAAGTATTTTAATATTACCCTAGCCCAGGCCTAGGCCCAGGAATCGAACCTGGGACCTCTGCGTGGCAGTCCGGCATGGTAACCGTTCGGCCACGAAGACAGTTACTGTAAAAGGTTTACATCTGTTTTCCTTAACAGACACTTATGCTTATCAATAGGTACCTACGTTCAAAAGTCACCACAAGCGTACTTTATAAACGTATCTATTACATACTGCGCCGCAGCCAAGTTCTGAACGTCGTCCAGTTTCTTGAGTAATAAGTAGTCATCATTATCACATGTTTAATAAATAGAATCGCATAGAAATAAGCCCATTATTTACATAATTAAACGCTAAACCAATCGCCTTCCTTCTCGTTGAATTACGAACATTATTTTGCTCAATTTAATGAATACTAACCAAAGGTTAGTAAGACTTAATGTGACTGTGATTTACTTAAAAATGAACTTACGCTGGCTGTGATTGTATAATTTTAGTATACAACCGTTAATCTAAGGTAAATGGAACTTATTCAATGAACCTTCGTGAAACCTTTTCAATACACATATTTAACACTTAATTGATTTGTTTCTACTTTATGTAATGTGTACATTGAGACCTTATTGTGAAAGGGTAAGAACTTTGTCCGTATAAATTAGAATTAAAATTGTCGAATATTTTTCGGGGTATTTAGTTCGAAGATGCATACGAGTCGAATGCCTTCGAGAGGCACCGGATTATCGTGTCAAAAATGACACGCGGGCACTGGCACCCGAAATTAAGCCGCCTCGGTGGTCGCGAAGAAAAAAAATAAACAATTTAAAATATCAAAGAAAACCGCGCACAGCCGTCAATCTCTCGCAAATTTTCGTTCAGTTTCAAAATAAATTAAAAAAGGAGATAGTGAGATAGCTGTTGCTGCTCAGTGCGAGCTTTGAACGCACCGCGCGCGCTCCACTCCGACGCATCTCATTTTCCACCAACCGCCGCCGCGTCACGTTCATTTTCAAAATTTCGAACTTTGACATTTTTTTTTAAATTTCTGAATGACCATTACGTAAGTGTTTGTGTTAGTGGAACTAGCGTGTTGTGTAGTGCTTTGATTGGAAATGTGACTAGATTGCTTTAATTGTATCTTGTTTGTGTCTGAAATCTGTATGGTGTTTTATGAAGATAAGTTTCGTCTACCTTCCGGCGATGCGGTTTCATTTTGGTAAGGTCGATTTATTATGAAAAAAAAAGAAGTTTCTTTGTATTTTACTATCTATAAAGATACAAGGGGTTTTATGCATTAAAGACCTTCATATCACGACTAAGGCCAAATTAATTAGATGAAATTGGAACTTTCCAATCAGGGTATAAAAAATACTGACAAAGTTCCTCTTTTGAACGTAGTTACTAGTCATCCCACGGTTCTTGGTCGGCGGTTGAATTTTCATATTGTCTTTAATCTTTTTTCTTCTACGTTAAGGAAACCTTTATTAAAAACGTCTTTGTGAAATATCCTATATGATTCATACGTATTTTTAATTCATCCAGTAATACTAAACAACATTAAGAATATTAATTTAATTTGACATTAATAACTTAACAGTTAAATAGCACTTAATAATCATTCATTTCATAAAATGATTTAAATAGAGTAGTCAGAGTCTCACTCAATGATTCTACATTCGACAAGTTACTACGACATAAAATCCCTACGTTTTAACACCATCTTATAATTAGTATACATTCCTCCACAAAATTCTTTAGATCACATAGATAACATGTAGATTACATATATACCGACCACTTTAAGAGGCACGGACTTGAATACTTTATATATGGGATTTGAAGCACATTTGGAACCAGTTAATAGGTGTAAGTCTATAAACGTCAAAGTTATCTCAGAATCAGTTGAAATTTGTAAATAGATGCCAGCTTGATGTATGAAGGGATCGATATTAATGAAATCGTCGTCTTGTTTGGAAATAACGTTAAGCGATTTATTTACTTGATGGAAGTTTGAGGCAAAACTCAAGATGATTTTCGTAATGGACGTAACAAAACCAGAGAGAAAGTGTGTTTTTTCGGTTACCGGTGTGAAAACGTTGGACGGGTAAATTGTTCTATTAGTGCTATGGAAATGTCAGAAAAGTATACCTTATCTCCATGCATTATGTTCAACATTGCAAACTGATACGTCTGTAACTTTTTCAATTGATGATTACATCAAAACATGCCATCTACTAGCGGAGTAACTACTATATTTGTACATCTTCTTATCGTATCGATGGCATATACTGTAATCCTTGCCACCTTTCAGATTTGCTAATCGCCATAAGGAATTCGCTGATTGTTGCCCAGACTGCACCAGACGCACAGGAAAAGAATGGTAGACCTTTCTTTCGTGCACCCCACATGAACATCAACTAGTCTAGTACTATTAGAGAACAATAATCTCAGTACCGAGTGTTAAAAAAACCGACCTCAAAAGTCATTCATAGTAGTTTCATTAGTTCATCGTAGTTTGCCACCCTTGAATGTGGAATATTTTCTTTAAATTTAAATGGAATCACTTCTGAGGGCCCCTCTTTCCAACAAAAAAAGAATCATCAAAATCGGTTCATAAGTTATCGCGTAACATACATAAAAAAGACATAGTCGACTTGAGAACGTCCTCCTTTTTTTGAAGTTGGTTAAAAATAGAGGATAACCTATAATCGCCACGTTTAAAGGGAAGTTAATTTAATAAATAGTGAAAGGACTGATTCTGGCCTTATCACAGTGACGATGCGTCCTCTTGCATATCGTCATCCCACCTTTTTATCACCCTTTTCTCTGGTTTTTGGCCACTTATTTTTGAAATTTTGAATCGTTCTCTAATTGTTTTTCTTCATCATTCTTACTTTGCTTCGTTGCGTCATCACTCCCATCAAAATTCTCTAGGAGAAAAGACGTGTCCTTCAATCATGTAAACAGTTAATATATTACATACGAAATATAGGCCCTTTTGGGGTAAGTTCACTTAAGTTTATGTCTAATCTGTAGGGAGTATTTTTACATTGTTGTATTTTTTTTATACCATTGTTTTTGTTACAGCTTTTCTTCTCCTTTTCCTTCAGCTTTTCCTTACTTTATTATTTATTCCTTCAACAATAAATTCATGTGGACTGAACTTTTATCATTATTACGCAAAATTTTGTATGAAACGAAGATATTGGGTGATCCTATTTTAACCACATGTATACGGACTAAGATTTATAATAACAGAAATAGGCTGTAAAATAAACCATACCGTTCACTTCAGGAATCTTGCAATACCTGACTGATCCAGAATTATTTTGATAATAAACATTTATTGCATTACACAAGTCGTCTTTCTCTGTTTTACAACATCACGAGCAATAAGGGCATTATTTAACAACTTTTCAGGCCCTTTACAGGTTCCATGGTCACGTCTGACCGTCGAACACAGGACCTGTTAAATCGTTAATTCTTCAGCGGGTTCTTACACACCCCTCACAATAGTCGCTATAGTCCATTTGTTTAGGTACTTAATTAACTGTAAACAATCTTGACACATCTTTTTAGTGAAATATATACTTTACAAAACAATAGGTATAAAAATAGGCATGCAATTTCATATGAAGCTAAGTATTTGTATTTTGTATTTGAAGGTAAGTAAAAATCATTTTGTAAATATATATTTCATTAGATAGAATGTCTATTTGATCAAGACTGTTTACATTTAGTTAAGTACCTAAACAAATGGACTATGGACGTTTTATAGGAATAAGTGATTTTTATAGGCAATTGCTTGACAGACGCGTCGTAGTAGTGTTGTACATTTAAAGACGCTTTAATAGGTTTCCGATACCATGAACATTTCCTTATGGCCGTATACTTTAATAAATCTGACTAAGAAACAACTAAAATGGGCAGCTTTCGCTGTGTCTATATTTCACATAAATGTCGTCTGGGTTGTAAATTGATTTTCATTCAAATGGATAATTTAGTGTAAATGTGATGTAAATCAGAACTAAATAGATGGTCATGACAAGAAAGCCAGTGGTTTGCAATGTTATATTTGCAGTTGATGAATAAACAAATAAGGATTTTTAATTTTACACGTTTTACTGCCAATGAGGAAAGAAAGTCTTCCACTACCGGTTTGTGTTTCAAGAAGAGAAAATAAACTCATGGCATCAAGCATTTTTATATTCCTTCAAATGTACAGTAGTGGCTCTAAACTAGTTTTGAACAGAGAACAGTTTACTTTTTTTAAATGATATCAAGTGACGGGACGAACAAGTCGTGCGCCTGGTGGAAAGTGACACGCCTGTCTACAACAGTTGCAGCGCCACTCAGAGATTTAAATTGCAAAGATCTGAAGAGAATTCCCACTGCGCATGTCACCTTGAGATATAAGTTGACAAGTCCCATGTAACTGTAATTTCACCAGCACCATTTGAAGGGTAATTCAAAACCGGAACGCAGTAAAGCTTACATTAGTGCTTGGCGGCAGAAATAGGTAAGGTAAGGTAAGGCAGTACTTCCCTTAACGAACTCTTTCACAAGGAGCTCTACTGCTTCTACTTATGTACATCAAAGTCCACCTCCAGGGACACGATTGCTTCTACGTACGTAGGTATTATTAGCAAAACATATGCTTTTAAAATAAAACAAATACATGTAGCTTTTTGAATAAAAGCCTTTCGCCCTTTATAATCTTTCCCTATATATATTGTTTAAACCACACCAATATCGTTTTGTGCTGCCATTTTGTTTTTTAATTTATTATACCCAAAACAAATTAGTAATTAATTTTGTAGTAACTAAATAATTGATTATATAGCTTTAGACGACCTCCGTGATTGAGAGGTCAGTTTACATGGTGTCGCCATCTTTGAGGTCCCGGGTTCGATATCTGGCCGGGTCAATGCAGAAAACTAACTTTTCTATATTGTTTGGGGTACGGGCGTTTGTGGTATCGTTGTTGTTTCCGATTTTCAAAACACAAGTACTTTTTCGAGTTCTTAGGTTCTGAGTACAAGTAGGTACTTTAGTTACTTACTTTGATGTCAGAACAATGTATATGATGTTGTCTAAAATTTATATTTATTAATATTCAATATATAGATTTTTCTATAAAGAGTAGATAACAGGTAATCAATGCTGAAGACCGGATATATTTACAACATTCTTTCGTCGAAGAGTTTCCTTACACTAAGAATGCTTTCATTTACAACAAAAACCGGTTTCAAAATTTCAGCTCTCCGGTTATTACTACAAAGCTCAAATATTTATAACAGCTAATTATCCAGGTGTATGATTAGCCATGTCAAGTTACGTACGTTCAAACACAATGTGCACGTGCGTGAGATAAAGTTACGTCTTGCTGTTTGCTAATATGAATTCTTTGGTTGGGGACTTTCCTTTGTACATTCATGAAGAGTTTTTAGTTATTTTTTTTTAAATATGAACCATTAGCATAGCATAGGAGCTATGAAATAAGTTTTCTTTTTTTAAATAAATAATGTCTTAATCACATTTCTGCCCTGTTTCTCATAAGTAAATGACGAAATTACTTCTGTCTTCTGACTTGTCAACTTATGTCTCAGGGTAACGGGCGCAGTGTGAGTGCCCTCAGATCTTTGCGATTTAAAGCTCTGAGTAGCACTGTATCTATTATTTACAGCTGTGTAGCTTACCACCAGGCGCACGACTTGTTCGTCCCGTCACTTGATATTTTAACAAAAACTAACGCATTTTGCATTTTGGTAACTTTCGAGATACCTAAAGTTTAATTGTCACTTAAAAAAAGTGTTAATTTCGCTGATTTTGCCTAATAACAAAACTGACGATATTAAAAAACCGATTGGAGGGAGTTGTAGATCTCGTCCTGCTGGTCTCAGATATGTTAATGACCTAATTTCACTAAAAATGTCGATTACGTTAGTTATGATAAGGGCAGATTTAGAATTTTTTGTTTGGAGGTTAGGTCTGAAAAGACAGGCTGATATTTTGGAACGGTTACACGCTCCATAGTCAAGGGTGAAAAAATCATGGATAGTAAAATAATATATAATAAAAACACGTATATAATGAATGTGGTTTAGTATAAAAAGAGTGACAAAAGTAACGCTGCAAGAACCCGAGATGTGTTTAGTCGGCTACAGCAACGACGACAACAACGGTAGAAAGATTATGTCTGTTCTTAAAACTTTC